GGGAAATGCACTTGTGTAAACAAAGGTGAAAACAGAGGAAACTGAATTAATTACATACGTGATCAAAATTCTTTAGCAAGTCTAACAAGGGAGTCTCTCATAGAAGGAAAACTGTGAAAATGGAAGATGGCTTCCTAAAACAGAGGCCCATGCTACAGCAGATTTTCCTAAGGCTAAACTTTACAGCTTTAAAGAAACAGTGGATACAAAGAACAACACAAATGAAAATCAGACACAAAAATATCCTGATAATTAAGTTAATAGAATTCTACAGATAAGATCAGAGATGTTACTCTTTCGTTTTTATTAATGGTTTCCAAAGAACCAAATAATTTCATAGACTATAAGCAAAGGAAAAGAAATTAGAAGCCTTTTTCACTTCATCTTATTATACAAGACAACACTCCAAAGTACATTGGAATACCAGTTTTAACTGGCCTGTTTTTTGCAGTTTTTTAGCAAGTGATTCTGTGATTCAGACAAAGATGTAAGACAAAACAGTAAGAACAACATCAGAAGGGTTTTTCCTTTTTTTGGTTTTGCATTTTTTTCTTGTGTTTGGAGTAGTTCTGGAAATGAAATATCTTCCATTTCTACCCAGAGACGTGCACTTTTCAAACAGCTTGTTTTTTACGTGCTAAGAACACAAAGAGAGAAAATCTTGGCTTCTAGCCAGACATAACTTCAGCTGTATCGTATTTTCCAGGTTTGTTCAAAAGAACAAACCTATTGCTTGCTTCTAGGATTTTAACTGTAGATTTTATCTATGTGTTTTGGACTTGCTGTTTTTCATTTTGAATATGCAGTCATATATACAGTTTATGACAATGGAAACAAACAACGACAACCTCAGAAACTGTTAAAACGCTCCAAAAAGAAATAAAATATTGGTTTCAAGTGAAAAGACAAATACAGGCTAAGTGAGACTTGAGTGGCCAGTTCAGAATGTAACTTCACATATGATTAATAGGCAAAGGCATTTTTAAAGTGCTCCTAACTAGTCTGCAAACACCCACAGACATTCCACATGCTTCCCCATCCTTTCACATTCGCTGTTGGAATGTGTTTACATGTATCACAGTCCTGGGCTTTGAAGCAGCTGGACAAGCTATTTTCTTACCTAAACACCTCTGAGTGATTCATATACTGAAATGAAATATAGGAATACTTACCTCTAAGTTTGCCTTTGCAAATACTACTCTAAAACAATTTTCATGCTTGAATATCAGCTCTGTATACATGACTGACAGAATTTCCATGCTTGTTAAAAAAACTTGACTCGCTACAGCAATAGTAATACTCAACTGTGCTACCTATTAGCTTGTCTCTCAAATTCCATTCAGTGCTTATGGTATACAGCAAGTGACACTCCCAGTAAAATGGAGCAAAAATTTACTTAATGCAAAAGATATAAACAAAAAGAAACAGAAAAAAAAAACTGACTATAAACTCCAAATGGGAAATATGGGGAGTAATACATTACAATGATACCTTCAAAGAAAAAATTACAAGTTTGTAATTCTCCCTTCTGAAAAGTATTGCCAGTATTTTTACTACATCTGTAGGTATTGCAGGCATATAAAATGTTTCCCTTTTTCACTGTCTAGATACATATTATACACACAAAGTAAACTGCACATATATATGAGCACACACAAACACACATCATCTATGGTTTAACTCCAGTAAACCATATAACAGACACTGAAGGCTTATTCATCTTTTCTATAAACGTGCTAACTAAAATCTCAAAATTGTACCCTTTGTAAGATCTCTCTGGTAACTCTCTTGAATTTGTTCAAGTGCCATGGTATTCCATCAAATCACTCGTGTTAGTTTGAAATATATACTGAAATATCCATGTGGCAACATTATCTTAGTAGCTTTATTACACAATCAAATAATACCATACTTATTATCAAACTAATTTACACAATCAGATTTTTCCTTTGACTGGAACAGAACTGCAGATGCGTTTTGTTGTAAATATATGGATTGGGCATGTGAGTGTGAGAAGAATGGCAAAAGAATTGCTAAGACAGAATCTTGAGATCAGGTGGGGAAGATTCTTGGCTAACTCAACAGTACTGAATTATTCTTTCAAAACTTAGTGCAAAGTACAAAATCATTCTACAATTGGAGGCTCATTACTTCTATTCTATGAACTAAAGTAACTACCTCTGCACAAATTACTCCCTAAGCATGAAACCAAAAGTTTAAAAAGAACTCGTTACCTTTGCCAATGTAACACTATCTCAAGATAGAACATTTTAATAGTGAGGATTCAAAAGTATCAACCTGTCTCATAAATGAAAGCAAAGCTATAGACATTTGTCTACCTTTGACTGACATATATGTTTGCTGTCTGGTTTTCAGCTAGCATCCAACAAGTAAAAAAGGGTCAGAAAACATATTTGTAAAAAGTACAGAAAAGTAAAAAAATTCTCTTGGGCCTTAAATCTTACTACAAGAAAGATACAGAGGTGCCGGAGCATGTCCAAAGAAGAGCAACGAAGGTGAAGGGTCTACAGCACAAGTCTTATGAAGAGCAGCTGAGGGAACTGGGGTCGTTCAGCCTGCAGAAATGGAGGCTGAGGGGTGACCTTATTGGTCTCTACAACTACCTGAAAGAATGTTGCAGCAAGGTGGGGAGCAGTATCTTTTTGCAAGGAACAAGTGATAGGACGAGAGGAAATGGCCTCAAGTTGCACCAGGGAAGGTTCAGATTGGATACTGGGAAAAATTTCTTCACGGAAAGGGTTCTCAGGCACTGCAACAGGCTGCCCAAGGAAGTGGTTGAGTCACCATCCTGGAGGTATGTAGACATGTAGACATGGCGCTTAGGGACATGGTTTAGTAGCAGACTTGGCAGTGCTGCGTTTACAGTTGGACCTGATGATCTTAAAGGTCTTTTCCAACCTAAATGGTTCTATGATTCTAAAATTGTTTATTATTTATTACTGAGGGCTTTCAAGATTAATTATCTTCACAGACTCTCCATGCCTAGGAGGTCACAGAAAAAATTCCTGAAGACAAGGGAGTACATAGCTATAGTTTTGAACAATGACCTTAAGTTAAATCCTCCATTTGATGGTGTTGACTTTACAGCAAATTTGAGACTATACCTACTTGGTAAGGACAAGGCCATAAAGGACATACAAACTTTACATTCTTATTTTGCCAGAGGGGCTACCAGAAAGATGTTCAGGGAAAGCATCTTGTCCATTGGATTAACCCACTATTAATGATGGTATTTAAGCTGACGTTGACAGTAATGCTGATGACAGTAGCAGGAACTTTCGGTCATGCAGGTGGCAAAAAAGTTTCACCTCCAATATTTTGTTGGAGAAAAACCCTGCCAACCCTTCTTTTATGTAGAAATGACTCTCAGGAGCTGATAGCTTTTTTGTGGATATTTTCTTTTTTCTCAGATATGTAAATCTAGAACCTGATCTCTGGTATAATAGTTCTATTTGAGAGCTTTGCTACCTGTGTTGTAAAGTTTAACAAGGTCCTTATAACATAGAAAACACTCTAGAGATCCAGGACATTTAGATACCATTCCTGGAAAGAACAATCTTATGAGTTTAAACTCTGTTTGCATGAAATCTCCACCTGAAATTGGAAGCATTCATGGGCAGGAGGTTTTTGATACTTATTGCTATTTGGAACACCAAATGGAGTTTTGCCAGGCCAGAGAAGCAGAAAGGATGCCTGGATGCAGAGAGAGTATCCAGAAGGGTTTGCTTTCCTTAAGATCACAATAACTGTTGCAGTTGTTGTGTGCCACATTCCCTGTATGAATACTTGAAATACAACTGGATTTCCTGGAGCCATCGTTTGGGCTGGTTCATGTATTGTAAAGCCACGCAGTGGTTGGCCCATTCATATACTTTCTGTCAAGCTAGTGATGTTTTGTGATCCTGCACTAGGGAAGACTGGTTTTTGAAATGAGCTATTCCCTGGCAGTAACCTTGTCTCCCTGCTTGGAAATTTTGTCATCAATCAGTGTGAAATGTGGGTGCTGAAACTCGCTATTTCCTTTTCTTTTTTTTTTTTTTTTAATCTCTTTGATCTGGCCTCCCTTTTACCTAACCACAATAAATACCCTTTTTCTCAAATAGGTGGAGGTGAACCTGAACAACCCCCTATCAAACCAAGTCTGTCAGCTGGTTTGATACCCAAAATGAGAAACAAGAAAGCCTGTTCAAAGTCTTTGGAGCTCAAGAAGCTGAGGAAATACCTTATGCCGAGAAACTCAAGCGATGGATGACAGGCATTGCACCATCTTGCAAAGGACAAAAGACTGAACACTTCAATCATTTATCCTAGAGCTCTCAACAGGAGAGGTGACTTCACTACCACTGGGAAACAAGAAGCAATCACTGTCAGATGAACAGAAAGACTGATCACAGGATACTACTCTGTGGCAATCAAAGTAGAGAGAATAGCAAAGGAAAAAAAAAATCTGATTTTTAAAAATTCTTTGACATATTTCTGGAAATGTTGAGCAACATCCAGCAGTGAGGCCTTCCTCAAAAGACTGTTATTCGGAATCTGACAAAATTCTATTTTCTAAATTAACTTTGGCATGGAAAATAAACTCTAAGAGAAACCTTCCTTCTCCCTTTATAGGATCAGAAAAAAGAATAGTTGCTGTAGAACTGACTCCTCTCAGGTGTATTAAATATGGTGCTTGTGATGATACTGCAGCAATAAATTCAATTTGCAGCAGTAATAGATGTTTCAACAAACGGATGGCAAAGCAAGATAAGCCCCATTCAATAAAAAATTTATCAATTGATTCCTCTTAATATTAGAAAATACTTATTGCTTTTTCTAATGAAAAGGGTAAAATATCTTCTCCAAGATATGCCCTGTCACAACACTGTGACACTTCCAGTGTGTGACGTTTTCTCCGGTATTTCTTTTTTCCATGGATGCCATAAAGTGCACCGCATGAATATGAAGTGACATCTTTACTAACATGTGGTACTTACTTATCTCCCACAATTCCCAAGTTGATTGTTGGATAGCCGTGTTCTTGGATTGTAGCTAGGAGAGTTGAACGGTTACTGTCCCGAATCTTTCCTGGCAAGAGGTCATCTTCAGGATTCAGTAGCTATAAAACCAGAAACACTCTCAATCAGTTTCCTTGGAATACTGTGTTTTTACACAAGTATGAATTTTCTTCTTCAGATTGGACAGGATATTCTTAGACAACTATCACAAAATATATGTGTAAAGTGATTTAGTTAATTTAAATTAATAAGACATGTAATAGGTTTGTTTAGTCCAGTCCTCCGTGTTGCTTAGTTTGTGTCTGTTGGTCAATGTCTGCAAAACTTTCTTTCTCCTTATGAGTACCAGGCTTCTAATTTCAAACATTAGAAATCAGACCACAAACTTTAAGTTTCCAAGTTATTATTGCTTCTATTTAAATAGTTTTAAATAAACCTCATTGATGTTGCTAACCAGATTTAAAGGTATTAAAAGAAATTTTGAAGTTCATTGCCTACTTACCAATAAAGATGTTTTTTAAATACTACAGTCTGTACTGGAATAATAGACAGAAGCTTAAAGCTTGGTTCTTGTATCAGTTAGTGTTCTGGAAGAAAACCTTTCTCTCAAGATAGCACCATGGCAATCGCCTTACATGTGTTACATATTTTGGAAGTTAAACTACAATACGTACATATGTAAACACATATTTTACATATATTAGGAATTCTTTTGTAGGAAACATAAGGACAACACATTATTGTCAGGAGGTTAATCATAAGAATAACAATAATAACAACAACAATAATAACAACAACAATTTATCTGTCAAAATTACAGCAATAGTGTTAGATAGTAAGAAGGTAAGAAAAAACAAAAGTGGAGCATGGCTAAATTTTATGCTTTGGCTAGCAGCTCTATTTCTGTGAAGATTTCCATGGGATGATTAAGAAATCCACTGTGCAGGATCTTGTTTAACACATGATACAAAAGACAGTGCCCACATCAGTAAAAGACCCTTTAATGACATGGAAAAACAACGAGTCATACAGAAAACACTGTTCAGAAAATTATCACCTGTAATCCTTGTAGCACTTTAGATTTGTTCTTCCGTTAGTGGTATGTTTCCTCCACGACAGACCCCGTCTATGTTACAAAATCTGGGAAGATTCTGTCCCAGCAAGGCTGTCCTCAGCCACCCACAGTACCCCGCAGTCACAGAATAACCTTCACTGGGGTTGTGGAAGTTGTAAGGACACCACCAAGTTTTCAAAATCTTTCAAAATTCAACAGATTCAAGCTGTACGAGAATACAGCTATTGGGTTTATGTCTGTGTCTGGACTTCAAAAAGTTTGTCTCAAAGGACAGTTAAAATTATAGGTGAAACTTCATGCTGTCTTTAAACTTCAAACCGACTTTATCTCAACCCACAAGTTCTTTTGCTTTTGCTCTTCCTACTCTCTCTCTGTCCCGCTGCAGGAGGGAATGAATGAGCAACAGTGTGAGTGCTTAGTTGCTGGCCAGGGTCAACCCACAATATATGTAAAATTAGTAAATTAAATTAATCTTGAACCCGCTTTTTCTGATGTAACTAAGAGAAGCTGGTCTGGAGTTCTACCAACAGAAGACTGTCTGGATTTCAACATATGCTACTAATAAAAAAAATACTAAGGCACAATACTACTACAAGGGATTTGGTAGTACTACTCAGTTACCTGCCATTTGCACTATAGCTTCAGAGGAGTGCTGCTCAGAAGAAATTACTCTTCCAGTCATGACTGGCAGTATGAATTACAACCCTGACTATCCCACAGGATATCCTCTTGCTGGCAAGAGGAAAGCAGCTGGCACATGGTTGGATACATTACCAAAATTTTGGCAAAGACAGTGAGTAAGGCTTATGAAAGAGCCTTCAAGGGAGAAAACACAAGCAGCTGATTACGGGCCGATCAGTCACAAAAATATCCCATGTCAGCATGAGTTGCAGATCAAAAAGTGAGTCTACTTGGGAATAAGGTGGAAGTCACTATCTGAAACACTATACCTGTCCTGAAGAAGATATAGTAATTCAGACACTGATTCTAAACATACTTTTCTTACCTCATTCCCTGTTGACATGACTGCAACCACTGGAAACTTGTTAACTTCTACTTCGGTTACTCCAACAGTTGCTAAGAGACCAATCTCTGATGGACCCATGTGGGTTCCTTTAGCCAGCACACATTCACCTCTTTTAATGTCATGTCCTATAGGTCTGAAAATCATAGCACAGAAAAAAAAAAATAATGAAAGAAAACCAGAATGAGATTGAAAATATCTTTCCTTGATTGGTCCTGCTCCAGGTAAGGAGTGTCCAGGGATGTTCATTAGTCAGATTGTCAAAATGTCAGTACTACCTATGGTCAAACAATGACTATAAAAATCACCAACTCTTCTATTCCTTACAGAGATATTGTACTGTTTATAAGTAGCCTCTTTACAGACCTGATATCTTGGCCTGGTCGAGCCTGCACCAGGATTCGAACCTCTAGTTCTTCAGTGCCCTACAAAACCAAGGAGATTAAATATGGTTAGCTGGGCTATTAAAAAAATATTAACCGGTTTTAATTTCTCAGAATTCTACACAGCTTACAGTATTCATTACACTGAGACCATATGGTTTAAGCACCATCATTCTCCTGATCTGTGTGTCAAGTTTGTAATACACTGTGTGCTAAAACTGAACAGCTTTATAAGAAATTCTCTTTTTGATGAACTCACCAGGGAAGGAGTTTTGAAAACGGAGTTTTACCTTTCTCTTTTTATGATCCCTGTGCTTATATATCTGTCCTATGCTACGTCCTATGTTTGTCTGTTGATCTGGTGTACCGAGTGGATTCTTTCTACTGCTCTCAGCCAACTTGATCTGCTCGAACAATTTCAAAGATGGCATGTCAAAAAGAGCATTAGTCTGACAGACAATATGCCACTACATCCACAGAAAGGTGGGAAGAAGCTGTATGCTCCAACCGTTTCAGGATTTTCATGGTGATTCTTGTAGTGGAAACTCCTACTTGAGACCTTTGTACAAATCAGAAAGAGGCTTATTCATCATGTTTATTTACTGTGAACAAGAGACAGCGGCCTGAAAAGTCCAATGCCTACTTTAATATTTGTGTTTACTTCTGCAGAATTTCAATGGTTTGGTGATTCATTCAATGCCAATAAATGGCACATGACCTGTATTTAAGTTATAAGCCGTGCAAGTGGGTTGGTGATATATCCACTCAGCCTTGAGATAGTGACAGCCTGTCAGTACCACTAAATCTACACTTAGACGGGAACAGATTTTGTTTTTACGTTATCATGTAGTACTTCATACTTTAAGCACCTCAAAGTTATAAATCAGACACTAATATTACAAGACAAACAAGGCACATCATTGTCATTTGGGATTCTTACAGGAATGATAGCGCTGTATAGGACACTAGGACTTGGCTCTTTTCTTAAAGGTGATACGGATTGCATTTTCTGAGTTCAAACTAAGTGCTTTAAACTAAAGGCCCCAAAGTTAAAGTTAATGAACGTGTTGTTACAGATTGTGATTCTATTTACCTACTGTGAAAACGGATAAATTTAAACCCCTGAAAACCAGGAAATGAAGAACAAAAACATCAACCCTGAAAAAAAAGATTTCTTACTTTATCACAGTATTCTCAAATTATGCTGCTAATGGCAAATTCTGTTTCTTTTATACCTGCTCCTCTGGCATAAGAGGAGAGACTATTTTTGGCTGCTAGTGTCCAAAATGGCTGTGCTGGTGCCCAGGATGTCCTTTTATCTCCCTTGTCCCCACGTGAAGCTGTAAAAGACACTTGAGGCTTGTAATGAAAATCTGGGGCAACAGTTAGTCTAAGAACTATTTCATTTTTATGACACTCTGGGGATGGCTGGCCACTCGTGAAGATTTGAATTTTATAGATATATTTGGTAACATTTAAAGATTGCTAGGAATTTTCTAGAGGATCCAGAGGAGTGCCAGTGATACCTTTGAGTAATAGACAAGGTTGTATTTAGGACTCCTGGATGAGGGGAAACAAGAAAAAAAAGGCTTTTGAGGAATTTGGTAATCCCAGGTTTGAAAAGCACTGTGGAAAGTGTGACGGTGGACAACATGGTGATGTGTAGAGATCGTTATTTATGGAACCAATGGATATCCCAGAATACTTTAGGAATACAACATAATTCAAGGTGGCTAGAGGCAGAGCTGGCAGGGAGGTATGGCATTATGCTGAGAACATCATCCATTTGGCATGTATCAGGCAGCATTCTTCTTGCTGCGTACTAATACATTTTGAACTATTGCCTGAGTGGTTTAGTGTGATGGTGGTAACAACCAGCATCCATACTGATACACTGATGCTTGGTCTTGACATAGGATCTTGACATGCTTTGGCTGATCACATTGGTCTCCTTTTTCCTACAAGGTGACCTAAAACCTCAAAATGAAAAGGGTTTAGACATGTTTTCGCAAGGATCAGTTTTTCAATGACTGTGCATTTGGCAAGCTGATGAGAATTTTTCTTCCTGCTGGATAGACGTAATTCCTTTCAGGTCTGTGACTTCTACAGTCATCTGGGGAACGCTTGCTATGATATTTAAGTACCGCTCCCACAACTAGAGGTCAAGGAGCTCTTTTCAAAAGTACTCTCTGTCTCTTCAGATTAACATATTTCAGATGTTAGAGATTTCATTTCAGTTATACCCCAGCCCTAAGAAGAAAAATATTCTTGAAATACGTAGCCACCCAGGCATGAAAAAGGAGATAAAAATAACATTTTAATTAAACTATACTAATTATTTACATACAAAATTTGCAGAGTGGCATATTCAAGGACAAGTAGAAACTGAAGAATTCTACTTCACACGTATAGGCAGGAAAAGGAAGCTGAAGGTCGCTGACCATTTGCTAGAAAATTCGGAGTTTAAACACATGGCCAAATAATCTGTTCTCACATGCAGAGGAGAACATGCACAGAAAAGGTGCAATCCAGGAGGACAGTTATCCGAAGAAGTACAAAACAACAGGTTATCATGTATGTTGCTCTGAAATGTGATAGTCCTGTCATGATGAGGTAGACAATAGTCACAGAAAACTTGCTCAGTAAGGCTAATGGAATGATTAACAAGCAGTGAAGGCAATGGTGTATTTTAAGGGAAGATATAATCTACACATACACATCTGTAACCTCAAAGCAGGACTGACTCAATAAATTCTCTGTTAGGGAGAAGGCCAGCCTACACAGCTTGCTGACTTCATCAGATGTAAAAATCTATGCGTTTACAGTAATAAGGCATGAGAAAGGATCATGAGAGTATGTTTCCATTTTTGCTGTCTTCGTCAGCTTTGAACACTAGAATTCATCTGCTTACACCCCAGCTGCAATCGCAACGATAGCATAGAGCTATGGGGAAGTGGAACAGCTTGTCAGAACAGCAGCAGAGGAGCAAAGGCTGATTTGAGCAGAGAACCATGCACACACTTCATTCCAAAACTGAACTTGGAAGTTGTGTCAATAAGAGATGTATCTTCTTGCCTTAAAATCTGTCAGATGATGGAAAACATGACGATGGTGTCCTGAAATCACAGCTGGGTAAGTGAAGGTAATGATTCAGAAGGAAGTCTCTGAACACAAAGGAAGAGACAACAATATTTAGGAAGTCTAAGATGGACTGTTTGGGATACAACTGTCTACAGACAGCTCCTGTGCTTCATCAAAAACCACATATTACTTTGTTAAGACAACTGTGTGTACAGAATCAGTACTACAGTACTCATTTTTCCCGTGGCATTTCACAGCATCTGTAAGCTAGAGTGCTAATATGATTTATATGTATGCTGGAAAATCTGTTCAAATTAAACAGACTTAAGACCATGTTCTGGGGTAATATGCACCTTATCCATTTCCTGGTTTTCAGAGGTCTTAAATTCAGTCATTTTCTCATTTTAAAGGAGCACAGAGGTCTATTGAAGAAACTTAGCTGTGGTTTAAAAAATTTTGGGGGGCACTTACTTCTGCTGTTGCATAATAAACCCCCTTATTCTAAACATGCATTTATTGCGTATTCTCCAAAATCCACCTAATTGACCTTTGCTGAAACGAGACCAACTCTGATAATACAGAACCATCTTCATAGCACAGTTCAAAATAATCCAAGTCATCCCATGGATTTTTGCAGCACTTAAAACAGTTCACTTTCTCACAGAAAATCATATTCAGCTTTAGTTACATCAGCAGTAATACTGCACTGTAATATTTCAATGTATTATTCTGGGATCAACAGATATGTTAAGAAAACTTTTCTCCTTCTTACTTGGTGAGTTTAGGAGAACTTTTAAAGTCCTCATCTTGCTGAGTTTCAGAACGATCCTGAAATATGAAGACGACTGCTCTACTGTTAAATGTGAACTCAGTAGAAAAGAAAGAAATATAATGTCTGATTGCCACTACTCTGCGTTTTAAAATGTCATTACAATAGGCACTCAAATTGGACGGTATTTATGGATCTCCAGGAGGCATTTGCCTTAAACTCAATCATGCTCCCAAATACTTTGGTGCCAGCATTCAACAACTGTGATGAAAAATCAATGTCAGGACACGTAGGTCTGTGGTACTGTTATCACAGCCTGAAAGAGTGAATAGAATTGCCACTAGGAACTGATGTGAAAGTCCTCAAACTTCTGAGATAACAGAAGCTTTTCTGTAGGACTACCTTTCATATTTACAGGATTGTATCATGAGCCATTTTCTGCTGCACATGAAAGAAAAATGACTTTTAACTTGTGACTCACATCGTCTGATTCCCTGATGAGCTCTGTATCTTCCACTTGCACCACTGCATCAGCACCACATGGAATTGGAGCACCGGTTGTAACGCGCATTACCTGACCAGGCATCACAGTCTGAGTTGGCTGAAAAATAAACAAACAAAAATTAATTTACTAGAAAAGAAAAACCTCAAACCATTTGAACTTGATGGAAGCAATCTGAAAGACTAAAGTTCTTATTTGTGGCATGACTCTCGATATACTGCTAGTGCTATCAACAGGTATAACTCCAATGTATTTAAAGAGCATTAGGTCATTGCTTCAGATCTGGCTTTTTTTATATGGTCACATGTTAGGTGGCTTCAGATTTTTCCCCTTAGATTTCTATCACAAGAATAACTTTCAGGAAAAGCAATATACTGATACTCTGGTTGGCTTAGAAAAATGACTGGCTCAGAAATATAACAGTGACCTTCTAGAAACTTACATGAGTAAAAACCTAGTAGTTCTCTGTACATAAATATTTTTGCAGAGTTGGTTGAAATTTCTGGTTGAAATTTCCTTGCTTTGGTTTGGTTGAATTTTTATTCTGTTCTGTTTTAACAGCACACTATATATGGAAAACCAGCAGCTTGTAATTAAAGGAATGTAACCAGCTGCTTCATTTTTAAGTAGATTTCCTCATACTGACAGACAGCTCAACACTAGTTCACATAGACTGTCTCTCGTTGTGAGGGTCAGTTTAGCAAAGCCTGAAACTGATAATATTCTACAATTATGTAAAGTCACAGAATGTTACAAAGTTTCAGCAGAAGTAATACAAAGAATAGAAACATATCAGGACAATGTGATAAAACAAGTGGCAGCAGTTTCCATAAAATTTCTCACCAGGCAGCCTATTTTAATACGCATTTTTCAAAATCCAGAGTCAAATTGTAATTTGACCGTAACCACTTAAGAAATAAATAAGTAAAAGAAAAATCTTTCTAAAAAAAACGCAACTAAAAGAAGTTGGTACGATGACTGACATTTCATTGCTGGAATATGAGTGTTTCCTCCCTGCAGCACTTCCGTAAGGCCAACTTATTTAGGCTGTTAGTGAGCGTGTGTTACATGTTACACGTGGATCTACACAGCTGTGATCAGACCAACACATTCTGCACGTGTCACACTCAATTCATGTGCAGATTGACTCTATATTCTATATGCAGCATTGGAATATGTCCAGGACTTCTGAGACTGTGATTACCACTTAGTTGATAGCAACCTACAGACCTGGAAGCAGTCCTCCCCAAGCACTATTACCTGCTCCCGCCCAGCAGTCATTTACTCTTGACTTTTGACTGGAGGCTGGTAGACATCTGCAAATTCTAGACCGGTAGCCAACATCTCAGCTGTGCCTTGCCTGCTCTTCTACTCCATTTCAGCATTGTCACAACCTCTGAAATGTGAGTATTACTTTGAAATGTGTGTATTTCAAAGGCTGCTCATTGGGACAGAAGCCCCAGGGAGAGGCTGGAAATGGTTTGTACTGGGTTTACCACAGCATCCCACTGACCTACGTATCCCAAACAACAACTGAGCCTGGAATTGACTGAATCCTGACACTTTTCTAAGGGTAACAGAAATCTAACATCCTTTAAGAAGAATATAAATAAAATGCTAAAATAAACTAAAATAAAGATCACACTTGCCATATGTCATGGTTAGTGTGTTTTTAGGGCAAGATTCATGTTATCCTAAAGTAGGTATCTAAACCATAACCTAACAATACTTTTTTAAAAAAAGCGGTATTTATTTCTCACCACAGACTATGCAAGGAGCTGTGGATGAATAGCTGAGATGCTGCCATTTATATTGAAGATGCTTAAAAGCGAAAATAATCTTGTCTAGTGTGTTATTTTGATTTTTCTGAAAACGAATGTTGCAAAAGGTAAACCTTATGCCTTGGATTATGGGAGCTCTTTTACATATTGTTGTAGATATAGTCTGTAGACACATTACAAATAGGTAATATTGATTTGAACTTACTAAAGTACTGATGTCTTTAGTGACAATTTTTTGAGGAAAAATGTATTGCATTAAAAAAAACTCTCCACTTAAAATGCATTTTTTGGGCCTCAAGAACCACAAAAAATACAAAATGTCTAGGACTGATGGAAATCAGTGCTTATGGTGATAAAATGCACTGTAACTATCTATGCTTTTGGAGTTTATTACTAGATGAGTTAATTTTTTGAGGTGTAATGATATGAAGCATTTAAACAAATTTATGACACAATAACAATTGCTTTTAGAATTCATTGCTCATATATTTTCCTTTTTGTCCTTTGAGAATTTGATCAGATTAACTTTAAGAAGAAAAGTCAACCACCAGATTTGTGTGTGAACCTCCAGGGCTGTGTTCTTCTATGCTACAGACTATGAAGATAAAGAAATTATTCCTTCTCAGAAAGCATATTAACGTACAACAATTTCACAGAAGCTCTTTTAAAGGCCTTTGAGATCTCACACGTACCTGGAATAGGGCAGTACTGGGTTCTGTCCTTTGCCTTTACCACTGATACATCTATTTAATGTTAGTGACTGAACAAAACCCAGAAACAGTCTATCGAGCACAGCCCCCATCTCAGGTATTTTCTCTTGCACATGATTACAGTTCTCCTGTGTGATTTACAATGACCCACGCTCCCTTCTGTAAAAAGGCCCAAGCTAATGGAAAGGTGAAAAATGTCTGTTTTCCATGCTACGTTACAGCTGGTCAGTCACAGTGTCTCTTACAAACGTCTTTAGAAAGTCTTCCAGGAAATGCTAAGCTCCAGCTATGCAAGGAAGAAAATAATTGCTCCCCACGGCTGGAGTTTTTCACACAGAGGCCATGTGGATGGCTCGTGAGTACTATGCCCAATGTGCCCTCACCCCTCAAAGCAGGATGGTGTCCAAAAGTTTTCTTCAGTACAAAATAAAAAATGGTTGTTAACATAACATAAAGGGGACCATCTGGAAATGGAAATAATAAAATAATGCGCAATTTAAAAATTGATACAGAAATGTCCAACTTGGCTATATGGCCTCTCTGCAACCTCAGTCCCATTTTCTTCCTCTAGAGGAGCCAAATCTAAACCTATTTTGAACTCCCTGCTGTGAATCATTCTGTTAATTGGCCTGTAACATGAAAAGCAGAATGTTGCTGCTGAGAGTGACTGAAGGGTGAAATGAGACTGAGGAGCCTTCCAAGGCTATAAATAATTTCTTGGGAAGGAGATGAACCTGAAGATGTGTTGGCCCGAGAAAAAAACTTTGACCAATTATTCAGAGGTCAACAGACTCATTTTTCTAACTCGCCACCGGTATTTCCAGAATTACTCTCTCTCTGCGTGCCTCCTCCCACCCAATTTTTCTTCCTTGCCAGAGAGGTTTCCCATTCCCATTAATCCAGGAGGACAGACTGTCCCTGCAGAGAGACATTTGTGAACTCTTGCATTTTGTAGGAGGGAGGCAAGCTCCCCTTTGTAGGACGCTGAAACCCTGTAGACCTGTGGGCAGTCCTCCCCATTAGACACAGCTTCAACAGTAGTGTTTTTAAGCACTGCTGTGCTGTGATATTTTTTAACTGGCAAAATGATAACATTGCTGACAGATGAATAATGATAGGAGTGATAATTCAGCAGGTTGCTCTGCTGGTTCTTACTATGTTATAGGGACCATAAAAAGGGTTGTAGAAATAGTTGTCAGTCTTTCGGAGTTTGGACTAATGCTTGAAAATACAGACAGAAGGGCTAAAAATGCAAGGCAGATGAAATTCATTAGTTTACTTTTTTTTAGTATTTAAAGTAATTTTACATATTTTGTATAATGGATTCATTAATCTAGGTTCACGTGAATATCAGTTGAGAAGATATCTATTATACCAAAGTATAATTCATGATGATGGATGAGAACTACAGCAAATATTATTTTCATAGTTCTCTGTATCTATCATGGTTAGCCAAATTAAATGTCTATTATACATTTAGAGGGAGTTCAACTCCATTTAAAAAAAAAAACAGAACAATCCTGCAACTGGTAATACTTCTAAAACCTGAAACAACTTTTGAAATGCATCTATTTTATTTGAGACTTTTTTGTTTAGCAGTCAAAATGGCCACACTGTAAAATCCTCATTAAACCCGATCATTCTTTTGTTTTGCCTGTTACTTATTCCATTTCTGCATCATTTCACATACAATACACAGAATTATATACTGGGACTTGAGACAGCTGGAGAAACACTTTGGATTAACCCATGCTCTCCTGAAAAGAGAAGGAACTTTATCAAATGGACTCTGGAGTTTAAGAGCAAATCCTAAACAGCGTTGATTCATGAGTAGTTATACAGCACAGCACAGCAAGTCATGAATTGCCGCTGCCCCGACTTGCTCTTAAACACAATCGACGCATCTGCTAAGGTGCACAAACACTCGTTTGATTTAACAAACAGAAGAGGAGCAATACCGCTAACGGGGTTGCTGCCAGGCTTCCTCAAGATTGTTCTCATCTAATCTACCTTTAAAGGATTCATACAAAATTATTACACTTCGTTTTGCAGGTATCAGTGTGAAATACGCAAGCAGCTTGTGGAAACAGTTATTAGGGTGACATCCCTTTTAAAATTTGTCAGCATGAAAGGGTTAAATCTTGCTTGTCTCTGTTTATGAATTGCAATGCCACTAGAAACCTTATGTCCTCTGACACTGTACTAGGGCAGAACATTACAGTATGCACTCCTATGGACATGTCAGCGCAGTGCTCCGAAGTATTTTGGGATATCCTTGTTAGTTCCTTACGTAACTGCACGACCTCACTTTCTGAAATCATGTCCCAAGGCACATAGCAGGAGGCGAGGTACAGCTGTGTCCTACTTCACGCCACCTCCAAGAATATTGAGTTTTGGAGCACTGGCAACGATTGTAAAAATACAAAGCAATATCTTACAAAAAAATACATTAAAAAAAAAGAGAAAAGAAATTGTGCTCACCTGCTCACCAGCCTGGGATTCCCCTATGATGAATCGATCTCCTGGGCCATCAGCAGCTGTTAAAACAGACAAACAATGGCATTAGAAATTAAGAACAGGAGAACCAAAGAATTATCTAAGATTCAGTTCTTCAGTGTCAGCATGACAAATGTTATAGAAGTTTTGCAAATATTTTACATTTTTGGTCCTTTTCAATTGTGTTTATTATTTTGAAAATGACAGGTTCTACAGTACTTTTAACTGGAATTTTTCAGGCAACATGGGATCAAGTAGAAGGAGATTAGGAGGAACTACATTAATAACAAAGATTTGAGAGTGTTCATTGATTATTTTTATAAAATTGTCCACCATGAGCAAATCTCTTCCTATGTGAAACTAACATAGGGGAACCACATGTTTTTAAAGTCCATTATGTACCTTTTTCTAGACAACAATGGCATATTGACATTTCTAGATTCTGTCTCTGCCTTTGGAGGAAAATGTGCACAAGTGCAGTGGTTACAGTCTGTGTAGCTGACCATACAGGTTTGGCATTTTCTGAAGAGTACTAGGTGCCATATTAGATGTCTGGGTTCTGTTCCTTTTTATAGTTTTAGGAGGTAGTACTGAACTAGTTACCTTATACATTTCACTGAAGCCATCCTGAAAATTACAAGTCAGAGATCATTGATTTAACAACCTGAAAGTCTCCAGAATTTCTAATTTAGCCAAATCTGTACTTTTACAGGGACAACAAAGGCACCATCACTAATGAAGTTTAAGCTTCTGCCTGCCTCAAAGGTATTTTGGCAAGTTGCGAAAGTATTAGAGGCTCTAACATGGTGTAAAGCATGTATGGAGCACAAGCAACCCTGCCAGTCCAAGCGCAGCAGGCGTGCTGTCGAAAATGTTCAGACAAACTGGGTTCATGTGATCACATTTAAATATGTCTTTATATTAATTTAAAATCTGTAATTGTCAAAAGGTGACTTCCCAGAAATGAAGTCTAATCAGTGACAACCTTTATCTTAATATCTTCTGTTTCATTTCGAAACACCTGAATATACAGCTAGGTAACCTTATTGTATTGAGAAGAACTGCTTTCAGGAAGGATGCCCATTCAGTCTGTACAACGATTTATCAATTTGTACTTATACATCAGCTACAACTCTGCAGATGATGATCTATGGTACTTAGTCATGTTTGAAGATTAATGATTAACTTAAGTTTAAAAGCCTACAAAACAGCCTAATCTATGAGCTTTAGAACAAACTCTAAAATAAGAAAGTGGAAAAGAACTCTTCAACTACTTGTCTTTGAATAATGCATATAATATTACTGAATACAGTTTTCAGACCTTCAGTGAAAAAAATGCACTTGGATGATCCAGCAAAAGCAGAGAAAAAATTCCCTAATAGCTAAATTATTTTAAACCTGATAAAATACTACTGAATTACATTTTATTCCCCCACCAATAATGATATGGAGACAAAGTTTATAGGTGATGTACAACTGATACATCTTGAAAAAGGTGGGCAAGGTTTTGGGCAGACAGGTTTATGTGACTGAAAGCTAATCCTTTATTTTTTTGTAAAAAATCTCTGTTAATGTAGTCAATATTATCTCTGCCAACAAGCTTTGTTCCTCATATCCTGAGACAACAGGTCTACAAGAACAATTAGAATAGAATGGAATGGAATGGAATGGAATGGAATGGAATATTTCAGTTGGAAGGGACCTACAACGATCATCTAGTCCAACTGCCTGAGGAGTTCAGAGCTGACCAAAAGTTAAAGCAAATTATTAAGCAAATGCCTCTTAAACACCGACAGGCTTGGGGCAGGAAGCTTTTTCCAGTGTTTGACCACACTCTTGGTAAAGAAATGCTTCCTAATGTCCAGTCTAAACTTCCCCTGCCGCAACTTCGAACCATTCCCACGCGTCCTCTCACTGGGTATCAGGGAGAAGAGGTCAGCACCTCCCTCTCCACTTCCCCTCCTCAGGAAGCTGTAGAGAGCAAGGCGGTGGCCCCTCAGCCTCCTTTTCTCCAAACTAGATGAGCCCAAAGTCCTTAGCCGATCCTCAAAGGACATTCATTCCTTCTAGCTCTTGCACCAGCTTTGTTGCTCTCCTCTGGATACATTCAAATACCTTAGTGTTACTCTATTGAATCTACCACCAAAATTACAGTCTTGTGTGTTGGTTCTGACATAAATTGTTGAAGACAGCATTGACGATCATTCTGCTCATTCTGTGTGTTTACTAAGATTGTACTTGTGCCTTCCCTTACCTTGTAGCAACCAGGTTGCAAGACAGCATTTGCTTAATCCCCAGGTCCTTGTCAGTCAGCATCCTGCTCAGTTTCCCCTCTCAGCTTTTCTCAGCGTTATATTACCTGTATTTCTCTGGCTATGTCTGCACTCCTTTGCCACTATTACTGGTCATGTTGGTCTGCCTGCCTCTCACACACACAGACGACAGACAGCTGCAGTCAAACTCATGTTGCAGACCTGGAATTTTATTTTTATATCAAATCCTTAAGGAAGCTTTTGCACTACACCCATTGCCTGGGTTTGCACACAGTCTATTTAATGGACAGTTGCTTTCCATTGTTTCAGCTTCCAGTAACAAAAAAAGATATTTTAATGTCCCCAGAAGAAAGTTGGCTATTGTGTCCAAATTTCAACATGGTGTTACGATGATTCAACCGCTACCACAATGAAATCACTACCAGTATAGTGTTCAATCATACATATTTTCATTTTCCTCCACAGATATCTGAGGTGAATACTTTACAAAGGGACAAACTGATGCACAGAGAAGCAACTTGCTCAAAATCATGCAGCACTTGTGGTAAAGCAGAGGAGGGACTCAGGTCTCTTGGGAAACCACTTACTGCTTGCTATGTAAAGTCACACTACTCATTTTATTTGTACACAGCAACTGCAGTATTTTCAAAGTAAAAATGAGTTCTTTTTTGAGGTGCCTCCACAAGAGCACACTTTTGAAAATTCTTTAATACAATCATAAAATAATTCACAAATAGGATGCTGGATCTGTGACAGTTCAACAAAGTAACAGATATGTAAGAAATTCCTGATTAAATCAACAACAGAGAAATAGAAGAAGAATCTGTCATTCAGGAACAGATGTTCTGTTACCCTCCTGAATTCTTTATGTTTCCAAGAAACTAACTAGCAACACAAGTGCGTGTCTATGAGCACAAGTGGATGTACATTTGCTTGTGTACATATGTATCCACTTAAAAGATATGAATCCAACTTTATGGTCTTCCTTCAAGACAGCTGCATTCTACATAACTGTGACTTCAGCAATGATCTGAATCAAGTCTCAACCAAAATAACAACTGTTGGATACAAAATAGGCGAACTAACAGGTTATGAAGTGGTTTTACAGACACTGTACTGCATGTCTACAAAGCCACTGTTTACCTCTCACAGCGTAGCCGTCTTTTACTGATGCTGGAAATGGTGGTAGATTATCTTTTGCATATACATCTTGAGCAAGGACTCGGCCCATTCCATCTAGAAAAGAGAAAACAGAAAAGACCACACTCCATGTCATTGTTACAGCTAGTGAAAGGGAAAAAAAAGTGAACAGCAGTGCGCTCTGATGGATGAACTTTATGTGTATGTGACATGAATAGATCTCTTGGGTTTTTGATTTCTGCCTCTACATAAATGAAAAAAGATTGGAGTCTGAAAGTACTGATGAAAGATTTGTTCAGTAAGTCTGTGCTCCTGGTTATGGTGAAATTGGTGACAGTAGATCTGAATGTCAAGTATCCAAACCCAGAGGTAATAGCTCTGATATAGGATCAGACAGAAAAAAACATGTATTTGTTTCTTCAGGACAAGTTTTTCTCCTGAAATCTCTTAAAAATACATGCTTTCCTGTATTTAAAATTAAAAAAATATTTGTTCTTTTTTTAAAAGGTTTTAAAATAACATTTCCAAAGTGGATCCTGTGTGCAAAAGGTGAGGTGATGGATTGAGCCCAGAGGACTCAACATAAACAGTAACGATGGACAAGTTTCCCTAAATTGACAAAGAAGTTTTGCACTAGATTAGCTTTGCCTAATTGCTGAGAGCATTTCTGCTTAATGGAAGGTGAGTGCACATAAGTGTCAGGATTATTTACGTAAATTTACTCTGTTATAGTTCTAAACATTTTAATAGCTGTTTCAAACATACTC